CCCATCTGATTCGCACTAAAGAAGCTAGGTGCTGCATTGAGATAAACATTTCTAGGCATCTTCTTCCACAGGTTCACATTAGAATTGGCCCTAGAGATCTCATCCTACATTGCTCATTTGAGAATGTCCCAGGATTCTGCAATAAGTGTTGTAAACTTGGACCCTCTAAGTTCAAGTGCAGATCACATGGCCACTATCCAGATGATCAAAGCAACTAGGGTAAATCAGTTTATCCTATCCCCAAGGATACCTCACTATGGACTGAAGTTAGAAGTAAATCTGGGAAGGTTAATAGTAAAAAGAAATTAAGCCAGGATAGGGACCCTACTGGTTGGAAGCAGGGATTTGGGGTGAATGATGGCTGGATATTAGAATCCAATTCTAAGGAGTGCCAGGCTACACATTCACCTCACCTATACATTAAACATAAGGATGCAAGGATGCAGGCTGGTCATTGGAGAACCCCAAGAGGGGCCAGGCTACTCATCCTATTGCTAAGGATGCAGGCTGGACATTGGGTAAATCCAAGACGTACCAGGCAACTCATCCTAATAGTTCTCATGTATGGGTACCAGTTAAACATTCAGGGACTTCTTTCCAAACAACTTTTGCAGTCAAGGGGGCCACAGAATTCCTTCCAACCACTACAGGACATTTTCAACCTCTCACTGGAAACCCTGCAGCTCAACCATGTGACTCACCTCTACACACCCCTCTTATAGATTCAGCTAACTTTCACATCCATTTACCTGATGAATGTGACCAGAATCAAAAGTGGGGCCTAAATTCCCTATTCAATGTACAGGAACACTTTCCTTCCTTCTCAGATGCTAAATCCTTTGCTTCAAAAATATTCCTGAAAACAGCAAGTAAGGAAACAACTAACAATCACATTCAAGGGAAGATTCAAAGTTTATCAGATACTATCCACAAAACAAAAATACAGGACATGGGCTCAAAGGATGACTTGTATCTGATAGATCCTCAAGAAGGGATTGCAGATGGAATGGGTACAGGTAGTGAAGGAGATGATCAGGACATGGGCTCAAAGGATGACTTGGATCAACTAAGAACTCCAACCCTTTGAAATACCTTTCCCTAAAGAAAACTCTCCCTGCCTTGCCATCCCTAAATCTCACAAGTAGGGAAAACTACCATCACCCAGGACTATCATGACCAGAAGTAAAACAAGGGCTACTGAAGGACACTCCAAAAAATTATTATGAATTGTTTATTTTGGAATGTTTGTGGAGCAGCCTCTTCTCTAAATAGGCTGAAATCTCTAGTAAATTTATATAAAGTTGATTATTTGTGCTTCATTGAACCTATTGTTAACAGGAAAAAAAGGGAATGGTATTCACTCAACCTTGGTTTCAACTTCTCCAAAGATGGGCTTTACAACAAAATATGGATTTTCTGGAAATCAAGCTCACTTTCCCTACAGGGTTTTAATGAAGATAACCAATGCTTGAGCTGTGAATTCTGGAGCTCCAATATCAAATCAAAATTCAGCATCACAGCAGTTTATGGTGGCCACAGTACATCACATAGAAGACAACTCTGGGAGGATCTTATTAAATTAAGCTCTGTTGACCATCCTTGGGTGGTGGGGGGTGACTTCAACACAATTCTACATTTCAATGAGCACAAAGGGAGTTTTGACCCTAACTCAAAAGACCTAGAAGAATTTGGAGATTGCATTCGGAATTGTGAACTGACCTCCCCCCTTTCAGTGGTGGGAATTTATACCCGGTTAGGTATCAGAAGCAAGGAAAGGTTATGGAGAAGGCTGGATCCTTACAAATTCCCATTGCAACCAGATTGTTAATGATATCAGCTCTTTTCACCTTAGTAAAACTACTTCTGATCACAAACCAAATCTCCTAAGGTGCTTAACAGATAGGTTCAGTGGACCTCAACCCTTCAGATTCTTCAATGTTTGGACCTCACATCACAATTTCATTCCTACAGATGAAGGTAAGGGTTATATAACAGCATTGAGAAGCTCGAGCCTAAATATTCGTCTTAGATTGTATTTCAATTGTTTGGAGCTTCAAATTATATAGATCTAAGAGGTAAAATTATTTCATAATTTAAAATAAAATAATATAATAGATATAATACATTTTTTTTGATATTTTAATTTTACTTAAAGAAAAATGCAAGTGTTAATATGAACTTAAAATTTGTTTAAAATCAAAGTCATAATCCGTTGGGTCTACTCCCTCATTTCATCATCCTCTCCCTCTACTGCGCTGCCTCTTGCCGAATTCCGCCACGACAGAACAAGTGTGGTAATTTCACTCTGCCACAAACCCTACTAAATTACATAATGTGTTTGAGAGTTTATAGGCATACTTCCAAGTAGGGGTGAGTTTTGGATACATATCACCCTCTCCAAACCCTACTTTCGTGGGGTTTTACTGGGATTGTCGTTCTTTTTTATGGTAGGGGGCATTCAAGTTTGGGTGCAATGAGATATTGAAAGTACTTACGTGCAGCGGATTATCAGAGGTTGAGGTTTCAATGCCTTTGGTCCATTTCGTATCCCCCCTCTTGTGACGACTAACCTGCGATTCATTGGCAATAGCTTCGGAGTAACTCTTGTGACGAGTAACCTGCTTTAGCAATTTGAAAAGGTTATATAATGCTACTTTCAGCGTGTTCAAAATTAATTGTCATGTTAAGGAAGTTGTTAGAGGATGAAGCTTCTTTTTAGGGACGGCCATTAGTTCCATAGACCCATTGAAGAAAGTGATATGTTGGAATCTGTAGGCAATGTTCCCTTCAATCCTTTCCTGATTTTCAGACTGGGCCTATATTGGCACTATGGGATTGCCGAAGATGATGCTGTCCATTGGAATTTGTTGTGCAATGGCGTGAGCAAAGTTATGGAAGCCGGATGTGGGTCCAACGTTTTTTCCGTTGTCCCAGCAGCTCCTTAGTGTGGCTACCCTCAGAGCCATATCCTTACAGCTTGCACTTCAAGTCCACACTCTTTGCAAATAGGATGAACATCATTTCTTTAGTTAATTTGAGACTCAACAGGTGTGAAAGTGAAACATATATCGAAACACTCCCTTTGAACCCCATTAAACTTCGCATTTTTTTTTCACGGTGTTTAACAGAAGTTGAAAAAAAAGTGAAAATGTACGCAGAGAAGAGAAAAATAATGTCCAGTCAATGCTTTCCTTAAATAGAATGGGAACTTTATTTTAGGACAAACCAAAAAAGAAAGTAAGTTTTTTTGGGAGTATAAGCTAAACATAAACATCACTACAAAACAAAGATTCCTACTTTAGCCTCCTGGTTTTGAAGACCAGTCTTTAGAGAGTATGTAAATATCCAAAATGGACAGGCATACAACCTCTTTGATCAACCTTGCCTAGCTAATCTCAGCCTTAGAATGCACAGACTACGAACAAACAACAGAGGATTAGATTGATACACACAGCAAAGATATGAAATTTAGTGTATCCATCAACCATGCACGAGAGATATCGAATTTGATGTATCCAACAATCATGCAAGAGAGATATCAAATTCAGTGTATCCATCAATTATTGGGAAAAAAGTTTGAAATTTGGGAAAAAGTAACAAACCTAATTTTTTTTCGTAGCGTATCACTCAATCCAGTAAAACAAGAAAGTTCAACTCACTAATATGATGATCAAGTTCATGATTGGTTTAGTTTAAATCCATGAGAGAGTGCAATTATAGAAATTAAGAAACGATCTTAGTGACTCACAAGTACTGTAACAATGTGCGAAGAAGATCAGAGACAGCATTTTACATCTATGGGAATCAGAGAGCCTAGTGATGCAAAACACCCAGTAATTGAGTATCCATTGAAATAGCAACCTGTTAATCAATCATAGGAAGTTAAACCTCAAAAAGGTGGCATAACAAATATCTTTATTCTATCTTTTATTCTTAAATGGTTTAAAATGGTGAATGTGCATTTTGTTACCGTTTATGTCAATGTGTTGTAGGATTTCGTTGTATACTATGTTGTCTGTTGTTCAAGTAAATCTGTCCTGCTGCTCTTCATCGCAGATGAGGATCCTCACGTTTGAACCTTTTTCAGCTCTTGATAATGCGACATAAAGTTGGCCATGCCTGAAAACAGGTTCTTTTAAGTAGATGCCTACGTTGTGCATTGTTTGTCCTTGTGCTTTGTTTATGGTCATGGCAAAGCATAGTTTGACTGGGAATTGAAATTGCTTAAATGCAATTGGACAATCATCATCAGAAGACATCTCTAGCGGTATGTTAGGGATGAATACATGTTGCCCTGTTTTGTCACCAATGGCTATAGTGCAACTGATTACATGGTGGTGAATTTCGTTGCAAATGAGTCGTGTCCCGTTACATAGACCTTCTGATGCGTTTAAGTTTCTTAACAACATTATGGGGCATCCAGTTTTCAAGAGTAACTTGTGTGGTGGAAGGCCGTTTGGGGTGATTGAGTGCAAATAGTCCTTGCAATGTAAGTGGTTATTGTCTGTTGGTATGTCTATACTATAAGAGCATGATGTTGTTCCAAGGAAAACTTCTATGAGGGTGGAGTTTGTCATCCGCAGTTTCATTCTTTGGGGTCAAAATGGCATTTGTCAAATTTTCATAGGGATTAGTGAAGAACTTCTTCAGGTCTGGGAATACCTCATTCATTAGTGTTGGTAATGCAGATTTGTTACTTTGTGGGCTTATAAAGAAAGGAGCGGGCAAGCGTATTTTGTTCTTGTAGATTTTTTGGATAGTGTCATTTCCAACTCGAAGGAGAAATTCAGAGAATGCAGGATCAGCATTAGCCCGCATGTTTTGTGTTAATGTTATCCTTTGAACATTTGTCCAGATTTTTTGAGATGTGATTATTGATGCTGCTATAATGTCCTCTTTTGTTCCTCTTTTGACAACGGGTAAGGTTTGTCTTAAATCCCCTCCTTACTTTACCGCCATATAGATTGGTTGTTCCCATGATATCCTTTAAGAGTTCATCCACACATTCAATTGAATGTTCCAAAAGACCATTAAAAATAGTCTACTAAATCTTTTTATTAAGTCATTAAAAGTAATCGATTAAATCTTTAAGCAGAGATGAACATCTGAAATACGGCACGAATCCAACGAAACTCGCAAACTCCAAAAATATTCATTTTAAAGAGGGAGTCATGAACCAGGGTTTACCTGGTAGAAATTGTAGCGTGCCACAAATTTCGTATTAAAGGAGGCCACGAACTTCCTTTCAACACCACTGCAAAAGATGATAACTAACAATCACCAATTTGTTGCCAAGACTTGGATTCAGAAGTTTAGTTCATAGGAAGGGGATGCAATGTGATGTTGAATTGAGACGTGAGAGAACTAAATACACAAAGAATTCAGAGAAGTAAATAGTCAGAACATTGCATATGTAAATTATGGTCTTTTGGTAGAAGTTTTATTGTATTATTCTAGTGTGTAATGTAGAATATGAATGAAGAACTCAAGGGTGTATGCTTTTATAGGCAGGTAGTAGGTTGTTTAAATGTAATAACTAGTTTTAACCCCGTGCTTCGCACAGGCTCGTATATAATCTAAAATTTATACCTATGTTAATGTAAAAATACAACCTTAATATGAGTGTAGTCTTATACTTTAATTGGTTACTATTATTATAGTAGTATAACTATTAGAGCAAATATTATAATATAAGAAATCTTTGTATAAATAATGGTACAATAGAAATTTAATACGGAGTATAATTAAAATTGTATATTTACGTTCTAGACTAAATTGAAATAATACAAATTTAATATATTATTTTAAATTACTCCATTTTTTATCATATGCCAAGGCACAATGGATGACTCTTTTACCATTCGAAATTGACCAAGTCTTCCTCACGGTCCTTACAGTGAGTTTTTTACTGGGTAAGAATCCAAGTCTAAAAATATTTATTTAACAGTATTTTTTACATCAAATAGAATAAAATATGGCGTAATAAATGAAAATGTATTTAGTTTCCATGGTACTCCATGAACCATTTGCAAGCCGTTTTGACCACTACACAAAGTATGAAAATAAATTATTAATAACCTGTATTAGGGTATTCAGTCACAAATAGATTCTATAGTATAAAAACTCCAAATCTTATAGCTCGAGCATCAAGCAAGACACATTTCTACCATGGCATTCTTATGTATCACCTTATCATCGCTGCATACTTGAGTAAAAACATCATGTAGAATAGGGAAAAAGCACTTTACTCTTCGTAACTCATTAGTAATCCATAATAATTAATAGCCTCAACAAAAAAGAACCTATTAGTAAGTAGTTATGGTTTACCAGGAATGTCAGTGCTCCACCACAAACTTAATAAATTTTCTAAAGAGTCGCAACCTTTGTTGTTCCATATCATGATACTGGCTCTTGTTGTCAGCCCACCAAAATTCTTAGAATAAGACTTCACCTTCTGCAAAGAATCCTTCAAAGAAATGAGCAGTGTTCCCTTTGTTGCTAACATGCATGACTATAAGGAACATAAGGCAAACAACAAAAACATATAATTACTATACAAACTGAACCAGAGTTTAAAGCACACATAATCAAGATATTAAAAGGCTAGCATAAACTAACTCCACACCAATTGAAATCAAGCCACATCCTAATTATTAATTCCTTATTTGTTCTTCTGGTTGCAAGTATCCCATTACCATGAAAGCCAAACCTTGATTGTATAACTACCCATTTCATGCGACAGCTTTTGGATTAGGATATAGGTATCCTTTCTGCATGGATAGGAATCAAAGACACCATGGTTAAAATACACCCGAAATAATTAAGATGACCCTCACAATCTCTCTCTCTCTCTCTCTCTCACACACACACACACACACACATATAGAGACAGACAAACACGCACAGGTAGACACATATATAAAAGTGAAAAAACCTTTTCATGATCTTATTTCCCTAAACATGTTAGAGAGTATAGTCAGATATCACCAATGAATCCCACCAGATGATGCTTACCGAAATGAACCTCCGTGCTAGATTCTAAAAAAAACTTCACGCCAATAAAAAAGCACATGAACAACAACCTTAAAGAGTGAAAACTTTATATAAATATAAATTAAACATATTAATATTTATATTTATATGATCATTGTATCATATCTTGGAGACAATACAATACCAAAACCAATTTAAAACATCATTCGGTCTTCCACTAAACTCTATACACAGTACTTATTTTTGTAACTACTACTCACAAACTCTGCCTAGAATCAAGACAATTAATATCAACATACAATTACATTTATATACAATGACACTCTTATGAATTAACTTAATAGTTCCATCAACAGTGAAGGCAGCCTCATGCATTGGTTTTCTCACAACAATCCACCCAGTCTCATGTAATTTTCTCATGTTCTCTATTGACACTTCACAAATGACATGAATTAAAATGCTACATAGTACGGAGTATTAATTAATAAAATTAAAGGACATTTAACTCAGAAGGACAATCAAGTGGTTAGTAGTTGAGAGAAAAACATGGCATTGACACTGAATAACATCATGTATTTCCTTTACCTTCTACTTGTGCAGAATATGATGCAATTGTTCCCCCTATTGCAGCACCACAATTTTCAATTGAATCATATTATATATTGGAAAATGAAATCTTATTGCAAAATTCTATGGAATAATTTATTCTTAAGAAAACTTTGAATCCTGAGCGAGTCAATGTACCTAACCGAACTTTTCTAGAAACTAAGTGTCACTTGATTAGTACTTGGTTGCCTCATTAAGTGGTTTTTGCTAATCAAGGTTCTCGAACTAATTTTGTTAAATAACCGTAGTGTTATTGCAAAGTTGTTATGGTGATGTTTTCCAAAAATCTTAATGCGCTATTCTTAGTAGTAACTTAAAGGTTGGTCTTTGGGTTGCTAAGGATAGTAAGGTTTATAGTTAGAGTTGGGCTTAACATGGGCTAATATGAATGAGAGAATAGGGAAGAACTGTTGGTGGACCTCTTCTTCAGACTAACCCTGCGTTTAATTAGCAGTTTAATTTCAGAATCAAGGCATATTTTCTATTACTGTCTACGTTTTATAAAGTTTATTGTGTGATTTTTTATGTGTGTTTGTTTTCTGCCTGAGTGTCTTCTGAGTTCTTTATGAAACCCCCCATATCTGTTAGTTTAGTTTTATTTGTGAGTTTAGTTAGTTTTTAGTTAATAAAAGTTTACTTGTGACAAGTGAACTGATTTTCATAGTCTAAAAAGTAACTTTTGCCGTGAGATCGACCCTTACTTGCCCTATCTATATGTTTTGATGAATATTGAATCATAGAGGGGGTTAAAAATTAAGGAAATAATAATTTAATTTATAGGTGCTACGACACACCTAACAAATTTTGGTGCCGTTGCCGGGGAAAGATTAACTTTTTATGCAAATCAGTTTGCTATGTTTCCAAAAACAATGAAAAACACAAAAAAAAAACAAAAAAATCAATAAGGCATGAATAGCCAAAAAAATAAAATTAAAAAACCCTGAAAAAAGTTATCAAACAAATTAAACAAAAAAATAATAATAACAAAGAAAAACTCTAACGTCAATGCTTTGACGAATGAAGAGTTGTACACAAAAAAAGACTATAAATGGAATTTTAATAAATAAAAAACGAGTAGTACCCTAACAATACGGTAAAAATATCACCAAAACCAAAACAAAGAAACAAGAGCTTCCGGTTGCAAAAAAAAACGAAATTACTTTAACGAAACAACAACAAACCAACAAATAATTAGTACAAAAAACTAATGAAAATAGAAACTGAACACAAAATTTGTATTAAGAAAAAAAACAACTGCAAAAAATCAAATAGAAAAACTTAAAATTTCATAACTACAAATGATGAATAAAAAACGAAGTCAACTAAGGCTTGGTTTCGTTTGACTTATTTTTTCTGATCTGATCTGATTGGATCTAATCTGATCTGATCTGATCTCATCTCAACTGATTGGATATGATCTGATTAATTATGATTTGATTTAAAATTCAAATCAATAATTTGATTTGAGTTTATAATAACGTTTGAAAATTGTAATTATAATTCATATTATAATATAATCAATATTTTTTATTTTAAAATTATTTTTTAATAAAATAAAATTAGTTAATTTATATATTAGAATAATCATTCATATTTTAATGTAATAATATTTTTTATTTCATGATTATTGTTAGTGAAATAAGAGTATTGATTTAATATTTTAATAATTAGTTCATACATACATTAGATTAAATATTTAATTTATGTATAATCAACATAGAGAAGAGATGGTATTTTTATTAAAATACCTCATCTTTATAAAAGATCAAAACTTTAGAAACTCAAATTACAGGTAGCAATAAAAATGTATTTTAAAAGTAGAATTAGATTGACCATTTAAATGTATTTTAAAAATAATTTTTTCGACGTCTAATAAATAAGGATTAATTTCTCAGTTTTCTAGTTAACTTGTTTCTAAAGTTTATTCTTTTTCGTTTTTAAGAACAACAACAACAATAATAATAATATGAGTAAATTCCATAATTGGTCCTTTATAACAGGGGGGTTTCCCTATTTAATCCTTTATTATCAATTATTACCCAGTGGTCCTTCTTTTATGGGTATCTTTCCACAAATAGTCCTTTTTTGATCTTCTATCATGTTGGTGTTAATTTGAGGGCTAAAAGTGTAATTTCACAATGATAATATATTGTTTTGTCATACACAATTCCAAAGGTTGTTTCATTTGCGTCGTTTGTGAAATACATTCGCTTTCTACTACAACCATAGTCAACAAATGTGTTCTTCCGTTGGAATCCTAGCCCACAATAATAGTCATTATTTTTGTGTCATCCGCTTAATCAATATCAGAACATGTCACTAGATATAATGTTGATGTCAAATTATATTTTTAGCCATTAAATTAATACCCACATGGCGGAAGATCAAAAAAGGACCATTT